CATGACATGCCCGCCAGAAGAATATCTCCCGCACTAGTTGTCCGATCGCCGGACGTGTAGACACTGCCTTATTAATAAAGAGAGATGAATTGAATTTTATTTTCACATTAAGTGGAATATTTTTCAAGATGGTATTGATGATCACATCATATTTTTTAATAAAAAATTAAGTCTTATTAGTCTAGGGGCCATCCATAAATGGTAGGATTAGATTTTGTATATTATATGGTATGGAAGTATTTTTAAATACATTGTTAAAAACAATTTAAACGCATGAAATTTAAAACATAATATTAATCACAAATATTTGATTAAAAGAGGAAACACTGACAGGACTGATAGAGTAATGTCATGTTTCATGCACACGACATGACAATTTCATTTTTGAAAGTGAAAGGGGCTTTGAAACTAGACTTGACTTCAGTAAGGAAACATTGAGCTTGTTTTTCCAATTGCAGTCCAGCAACATAAGGCTTGAATGCCTTGAGTTCTGGTAAGCAGTCAAACATTTTGTTACTAACACTGATCTAAACTCTGATCATTTAATACTATCAGACTATGGTGATTTCTCACACCCCTCCCCTCATGTAGTCATCAAGTATGATCAAGCAGCTAAGCAAGCCTACTCACTCAAGCTGCATGCAGTCTTCAAAAGTAAACCTCTGTGAAAATAGAAAATCTCACAAAGGGACACAAGACTCAATCTCTGTGTTACTTTGCTGTGGAAGGCTTTTATTTTTCACCCAAAAGTTTCAAACATCCACTTTTTTTTTGTTGTCCTGCCTTTTTCAGGTTTTCTTCAGCCTCTAGTGTACCCTTTACTTTGTATAATTCTTATTCTTGCTTCAACTTCAATCTGAACGCAGTCCTCCCTGTATTTCTTTTTAGACTTAGACTATTCTTCAACAATCTGAACGCTGTCCTCCCTGTATTATGTCATGTATTTCTTTTTAGACTAAGTAAATTCAGTGTGTAAGTCAGTGTGTAAGTCTTGTGGTGAAGGCCGAATACGGCGTATTATAGTTTTTATACGCATAAAATAGGCATAGATACTTTAGATAGGCATAACTTTAATTATTGATAATATTAAATAATGATTAATAATGATAAATAAGAATAAGGGCTAAGGATCAACTATTACTATTAATTAAAGGCTTAGACTTAGAAAATTCACTAATTTATTTGATGTCCAAATACCTTTCAATTATCAATTTTGTAAGTTCAGGTAGGTCATTTTTATTGAATGTAGGTGTAGGACATCCAGAAGTTAATAAATTTTTAACAGTAGACCAGGAAAATCCACCGTCAGATGACATCGCCATTTCGGTGAGCTTATGATCTATTGCTATGTACATTGTAATGAAAACCGTAGACACAATGTAACTGCAGACTGGTATTTTCTAGATGATATTGGAAATTATTTATTTTCGTAAATATTTTGCTGCAGTAAATGCTATATTAAATCTTCTAATAAGTTATTTTATTCTATTTGAAGAATTATTTTTTCATCCTTTGTTACATGTCAATTTATTTAGATGAATGTTAATTTATTTTATTATTGAACGTTAGAATAGTTTCCTTCTAAATACGGTTTACAAACCTAACGAATAGAAACTGATAAGAATTACTTCCCTTGATCATGAATAAATTGATTGTTGTCCAATTTTAGTAATTTTACTTACGTATTAGTTTTAGGTTGTCAACTAAGTGTGACTTCAACTAAGTGTGACTTAGGCTATATTATTTTTTAAATAAAAGTTATAAGTCCATTAACGTTTGTTAATATAATTTTTAAAGTTTAACAAGTAGCGACAGTGTTTTTAAAAAAGAAAATGTCAATCGGTTGTGAATAATTCAATAATAGTAATAGTCACTAGTACTGATGTCATTGTCATTGACAATACTGATGATACATTTACAATAATGATTGAGTGATAGAGTACTAGTCATAGTCACTGTAACTATAATATAGACTGACTATTTTAAATTTTAGAGTGTAGTACTACTACCGATGCATACTTAAACTTTAATTATAACTACTTAATAGTACTAGTACTAGTGACAAGAGAAAGACAAAGTTTTGAGTCAGAGATTAGGTGAGGCAACTCCTAAGCCTACTGATATACACAGTCTACAGACTAAAATAATACTAAAATAGTCTATATTGACTATAGATGGTTCACTATAGACTATAGTGACTAGGCATAGGTCTACTTAACTTACTAGTAGTAGTAGTCAGTACTAGGCTAATACAACTGCAATACAAGTTCAAGACATAGTGAGATACTGTTACATACAGACTGTAACCAAATACTAATTTAATTTAGGTTTCAGGCTCAGGCCTATACCTACTAACAGGTAGTTGTATGTTTTTAGGAATTTAAGTAAAATATTCTGTCTTAACTCTTGTTGTGATGTTGTTTTATTGTCACAGTTGCATCCCTTTGTTGTCCTTGCACCTTAACCTTCCGGCGGGCACGTTTTTTTTCTCAACGATATCGGGTGCATTGTAAAATAAGTTGGTTAAATAAGTTTGTTTTATTTAAATATTGTTTAATTTATTAGTTTATTATATAATTTATTTTAAAAAACTAATATAATCAATAAACAGTATTAAATTGAAAAGTAATTTGAAAAATGTGTATTTTATTTGTCATTTAATAATGGGTACATAATTCTTTTTAAAATTGAAATAAAGGTTACACACTCATAAAAGCAACCACATTGCATGAACATAAAATATGAAGTTTACAAATTGAATTTTTAATGCTTCGAGTAAGTTGAATCAGCACTAATTTATGGGATAATTTCTTTAAAAACATGTCTCTTCTAACAATATTTTGATAAGATAAGATTCTTTTATTGATCCAAACAAATGTAAATGTTTTGATTGCATTGTTCATTTTCAGCATATAAATAAAACAATTTGAACAGAAGACATCTACATTAAATTATTTCACTAGTGAAAAAAACAGCCATTCAATGAACTCTCTTAGTCATTTCTGGGACTTATTTTTTAGTTCTCATTTAGTTTTGTGACTTCTTGGGGAGCACGCTGGTAAATTCGTACAGATTGGGGAACAAAATAATTTTTATATATCTTTCAGTCCTTGGCCTGAGAGAAAGAATTCGTCCCGAACGGGCCGATCCTAAGTATCAGTGATGAAGAGGGTGGGATAATGTATCATCCAAAATTTGTTTTGTTTTACAATAACATCTTTCTTCAAATAGTTTTAAAGTGAAGGATGTTTAGTTTGTGTTATGGTCCCAGCTTTCTTGATTAGTCTGTTTATTCGATGTTAAATATCAGATGATGAATTCCCACACCAGCAGGCAATACTAAAATGAAGTAGGCTTCAAATTGTTGCACTGTAGAATAAGTTAACAAAATTTTAAAGTTTTTTTAAGGTAGAAAAGTCTTTGGTTGCATTTCCACAATTGATTGTGGATAAAAATTGATAATTTTCACAATTAGTAATGTGTGCGTTGATGCCATTCATGTTTATCATTCACAACATTTAACGAGAGGCTAATGACGTACATTTCTCCCTACGTTGTACAAAGGGTCTCACACCTCTTTCTTGCTGAAATTTTGTATTTTGATGCTTTCAGAATAATGATTTGTGTAGTAGATCACTGATCAGGCAGCTCCAGAATTCAAGAGGGGTTTGTGCCATTTTGCAGGGCCTATAATTCATAAAAGTTATCGAATGAAATTGCTACTTCTCAAATACACTCTGTTTGAAGGTTGATTCTTATTCGATTTTGTTTTTCTGTCTTTTCCAACACAAAAATATCATTGTCAATTGTATCTTCTACATCATCATTATCATCCTCGTCTTCTTGTGACTGAATCTTCCTGATGAATTTCAATTGCATCTTTAATTATTGTGTCAACCTCATCTTCAAAATCTCCTCCTACTTCTTTATCTTCAAAAGTATTCTTTGAATTTCCCCTATATATATCCTTGAAATTTTTAACACTTGTCTTAAGCCTAAGCTTCCCTTTTCTTCATTGATTTAGGAATTTGTTTAATTCCAGTGTATGTTATGTAGGAGGTGCTAATGACACTGTTAATTTCCAGCCAGGGACAGGTTTGCTGTTACTGTTAACATTTCAATTTTTATTTTAAAAAAATCATATCCCCTATTAATTTTATACAGAATTTTATTTGAATGGAGAACAGTCTAGTTTTGAATTTATTGACATGATTTGACGTTTAAATTTAAGTTAAACTTTAACTGATCTTAATGTATGGGCATCCTTCCGTCTTCGCGAGACGATGGAGTAGCTATGTAGTCCTACACATCGACAATCTTATTCTTTAATTATTGTAGCATCATTATTGAGTAAACCTAATTTTATAAACCTACCATTTATATTTAGCTACTATTATTACTACGCCTGGGCCCTAAGTATTTTATATTTATAGCATAAATATGAGTTGATTTTTTAAATAATTTTTTTCAAATTAATACGGTATAAAAGTTTCATCTAAACTTGAATAACACTTTGTCTAACTCAAGAGTCTGCCAACATTTTTAGCAATTACTGGTACCCCAAAATAAATACTTTCACTTTTTCTAATTCAAGAGTCTGCCAACATTTTTAGCCATTACTGGTACTCCAAACTAACTACTTTGACGCCGCTGTTACCCCTGATTTGAAAGGAAGAAAATCATAGACTTTAATTTATAAATGGTATATTGAATCTATTCATATGGAGAATGCAGTTATAAATATGAAAGTACAAAATGAATACGTTAAAATAAATTAATACAATCCTCATTATGATAATGGAAGAAAAATATATCTTTGAAAAAAATGTCACTTTAAATTTTTTGGAAGTATTGTTTCACGTTTATTGAAGAGTTTTCTACAACCAGATTTAGAAATACCAAGACCGCCGCCATCTTGGTCAAAATGGCTCCCTTTCTTTCTGTTTTTGATATGATAACAAGGGGTTTAACTTAATAATGTTATGTTGCAGACTTAAGCAATGGCAGCAGTGGAACTTGATCCAGTGTTTGTGAAGGCTCTGAAACTCCTACACTCAAAAGCCAAAGATAGTGGTGCTCAGTTGAAGGCTATGCTAGATGATGCTATAGCACAGAGAAAAGGTTTGAAGGTAACTGGCATTTGTTATTTAAATTTCACAGCTTTGTGCTGACTTCTAGATTTCTATAATAATTATAATAACCATTTACCAGGAATGGTTCAGTTGAAACTTAACAGATTTTTGTGCTGGAATGCCTCTAGCTACTGAAAACTTAACCAATCATTTATCTTAGTTTGTTTATTTTGTTTTTTTAAATTTTGAGTCTACAGCCTAATATAAAAACGTTCTCTTTTTCCCCATAGATTTTCTAGTTTAATTTAGAAATCTTTTTGCTTTTCCTTGATAACACTGATGTTGCTAGAGATTTGTGCATAAACAATGTTTGTAAAGTTGACTGATTAATTAATCTTATGACATATTTTTGGCTGGTAAAAAATTATCATTTTAAAAAAAATTCACAAGGTTCCTGCTCACAGCAGTGATGGAGGCAAAGCTAGCCCTGGGCGTTCTAAAAGTGATGAAGACTCAAAGAAAAGGGAAGCCGAGAAGAGATCTGCAGATAAAGTATTTCTGTCAAATTTGTGTTCATTTTTTATTTATATTTTGTATTGATCTTATATAAAAATATATAAATATTCAAATTGCTAATAAATGTTATAATCATTTATTTTTAAAAAATTGTTTAAAGATCTTTTTTTTTTCTAGTTATTTATTATAAGTGAATTTAATCCTTATTATAAAAATGCTGAGTTATTGGAAAATTATAACATTCATCTTATAAGCTTTCAACTCTTTTTTTTAACAAAATTAGCTAAGTCGTATTTGCTCAACAACTAGAGACTTTGTATGTGGTTTTTCCTATGTTTCTAGCCATCAGAAACAGCGGTTAAAATGATTGAACTATTTTAGCCTTGTTTGGGATTGAAGGCAGGAAGTTAAAAACTGGGATGCACAGATTACCTGTGTTGTAATCCTCGCCAAATGTTAAGTGTACATTTTATTTTTTAAAATATTTATCAGTTCTATAATAGCTCATGACATTTTTTCTTTTTTTGCAGTCAACTAAGGACTCATCAGAATCAGATTCTAAGAAGCTGAAAATTGATTCTAAGTCTAGAAGCAAAGAAGAGAAAGATGCCAGAGACAAAGAAAAAGAGAGGGCCAAAAGGGAGAAGGAGGAGCGGGACGCTCACAAGCAGAGAGAGAAGGCAGAGAAAGAGAGGAAAGAAAAAGAGCTGGCTAGCAAACAAGAGGCAGAAGTCACCATGGTCAGTGATGATGAGGAGCCAGCAGCTCGAATGGATGCTGGAGACTTTGCCCTTGAAATGGGTATAGCTTGTGTTGTGTGCAGGTAAACCAGTTTTTACTCATTGCATTTTGTATGAATAATATTTCACAATTCATAACTTTTTTGTTAACTTAAAACACCACCGTGTGACTTTTAGAGAAAATAAAGCCAATGCGTTGCATGTTGATTAAATTTTGATTACATAATAAGTTAAAAAGCATAGCTATATGCATATTTTTTTAAATTTTTCTTGCCATGGACAGACAGTTTGATGTAAGCTCGGGCAATCAGCTTGTGGAATGTCAGGAATGTCACAGTCTCTACCATCAGGTATGATATCTTAGAAAACTATCAGTTTCTCTAAATGAGTTTGAGAGATTCTGGGGAAAATTTATTTCTATGACCAGATGATAATATTTTACTGTTGGCCCCCATGGAGCAAGGGTAACAGTGGGGTTCCCATTCTTTCCGATATGGTAAAATAGCAGAATGAAATTGATCTTTAAAGCCAAGTAAGGCAGCAATGCTTTTTGGGAGACAGTAATCATGTGGGAAAAATATTATTGTTTGACTTTTTATTCATAGTGAATCATTCAGATGAAAATACAAGGGGCTGTTCACTTTAAGGATATACATAACCTATAAATTAGATATGCATAACCTATAAATTAGATATGCATAACCTATAAATTCAATATGCATGACCTATAAATTAGATATGCATAACCTATAAATTAGATAAACATAACCTATAAATTAGATATGCATAACCTATAAATTAGATAAACATAACCTATAAATTAGATAAACATAACCTATAAATTAGATATGCATAACCTATAAATTAGATATACATAACCTATAAATTTGATATACATGACCTATAAATTAGATATACATAACCTATAAATTAGATATACATAACCTATAAATTAGAAATACATAACTGTCAAATATTCTAGTTGATGAATATTTGGCTCGTTGTTAGATTTATGATTCTCGCTTTTGTTTACATGTCTTGTAAATCTTGTCACACAACAGACTCGTTTGATTCATCAAAACAATACGCTTCAAGGTACAAAAGACATTTATTTGCTGATCGCATTACTAGATTAATGCGTCTCGTAGTTTAGTGAACATGAATCCACGTATATGGCAATATTCCAATCAGCAAAACATATCATGACAAAATCCACTATCTCCCAAAAGAAAGACGTCCCGCTGTAGCGAGTCCTATCTCTCGTCTAACTCTGTGAACGTAATCCCCCGTGACATAATACTTCTTCTCCTCCCACTCTCCCGTCTGTGAACCCTTTATCTCATTTCCTTTTCAGATTCTACTTATAGTAGAATCGATATAACTATGGTCAAGTCATGAAATCATACCAGATTTATTAACAATCATAGAATAATATATGTATGTAAACTGAAAACATTACAAAGTCAATGGTGCCTACTACGATTAATCAAACTTTGTTACAAATTGGCTCTAATTCTTCCTTAACATGTGCCCCAAAAATTATTTACAATCATATCTGCAAAAAAAAATGTCAACAACGGAAATCATATGGACAGCCATTAATTGTCCAGCCTGTTGGTACAGTTTATGAGGGCGGGATATTCCGTTTATCTGTAGCTTTCCAAAAATCGTGCAAATTTTTCCACCAGCTCACAACGCCCCTGTAATGTATTACATGTTTCGCAATGCTTGTCACATAGTCAATCCCCATAAATAACATATACAACACATTAGAGAATGGACCCCAATATTCCCCAAATTGTTGACATAATTTGTCAACCCAAAAGTTCAACTTTTTCACCTCTTCAAAAAAATCCAATTTTTTAACAACCAAATATTTACTCCTTAACCCAACATGACATGATTCATCAAAATACACAATATTTTTCTCCTCATCTTCATAACCCCAGCGGTCAATGCCAAACTCATTTGTCCCAAAAGAATTGTCTGAGTCTACGCAGGACTCAACAATCCCACGGATCTCAAGGACTGAGTACCCCGTGTCACCCACACCACAAATCTCCCCGTTTGGACTACGACCCTCGTAGCTCCACGTGAATTCATTAGCGATGAATTCCACCCTGTTAAATCTCCGTCCACGTCTAGGAGGCTTTCCAGGTGCTAACACGTTTGACACATGGTACAAACTCAAAATAATTCCCTTGACCAATATGAAAATGATTGTTTAGAGAAGAATTACCATCTCCCTGTTGAGCCCCATTAAACTCTCCAGTCTCCACATTAGCATCTTGTACGTCCACCAAATTCATATTTTGTACAAAATCACAAGTACTATCCTCTTCAATCTCTCCCCATTGCAAAATTTCCAAAATGGCTTCTCGTATATCGAGTAAGCTAATATCATTAATGGGTGGAGCATCAATAACAATGGGCTCATGTGCAAAATCGATATCAAAATCACAAGTACAATCCTCTTCAATCTCTCCCCATTGCAAAATTTCCAAAATGGCTTCTCGTATATCGAGTAATTTCATATCATGTACATTTTCAAAATACTCATCTTGTACATTATCAATCTGCATATATTGTACATTATCAAAAACTATATCTTGTACCTTGTCATCTGTCTCTTGTAATGTAACAAAATTCATATCATAATCATAAGTCAACTGTTGTGTGTTAACCAACTGTATAGTCTGAGTCCAACATTTATAATCCACCCACTGAATCTCGTGAATCTGTGCCCTGTGCATGACCTCTTTAAAGTCCCTACTCTCGGTTATAATAGCATGACATTGTTTCGGATAACTGATCTCTTCCACCAACTCTGTAATATTGTCCGTTACCTCATTTTCCCATGCTAACAAAAGAACTGTATTCTCCTCCACATCATTTACTCGCCCCCCAGTTTCTTTAACACTTTCCGCAGTTTCTAATTTATGCAACTGAACAATCCCCGTCTTATCTGCCCTTATGTCTTCAAAATAGTCGTCACCTATGCCTAACTGGAAAAAATCCGGCTTATATGCACATGTGTCTACAAAGTAATCGTCTCCTATCCCTAACTGAAAAAAATCTGACTTATATGGACTTGTATCTTCAAAATAATCGTCACCTATCCCTAACTGAAAAAATTCCCATTCATCATTTCCCCTATTGTCGGCCCCTGTTTCAGTTTCATTTTTATTATTTGCCAGCTTTACCCATGACTTGCTTTCTCTACACCATTTAAGTTCATTACCTCCCTCATTTACTAATGGCGTCCCTGTTTCGACTTCATCCTCATCTATATTATCCCAAGTTTTCTTCTTATAGTTCCACCTAAATTGATTTTTTCCTGTTTCCCATTGTGGCATGTAATCACTATCTTCTCGTTCTACTGTATCCCCTTCTAGATTTTCCCAACACTTCTTCCTATAATTCCAAGTAAATTGATGTTTTTCAGTTTCCCCTTCTGCCAAGTAATAAACACTATTTCTATCGTATGGATTAATGCAATTTATACTCACTATCCCGTCTACTCTACCATCTACTCTACTATTAACCCACCCTTCTTCTGATTCGTCCTCTGACCAATCATTAATTACACCGTCAAATTCCTCCTCCTCGTACTCACTATAATCATTATCATTGTCATAACCATCCCTGTAACAATACTCATTGTCATAACCATCCCTGTAACAATACTCATTGTCATAACCATCCCTGTAACAATACTCATTGTCATAACCATCCCTGTAACAATTCTCATTGTCATAACCATCCCTGTAACAATACTCATTGTCATAACCATCCCTGTAACAATACTCATTGTCATAACCATCCCTGTAACAATACTCATTGTCATAACCATCCCTGTAACAATACTCATTGTCATAACATTCCTCACTACTGCTTTCCCATGTCTCTATAAATTCCTTTCTTTTTGCGTCTTCGAATTCTTTTAACTTTAACTCTCTCATTGTTTCGGAATCTACTCCCCACTTTTCACAATTTGCTGCCTTTACTTTTGCCTCTCTAAATGCTGCTTCTATTGTTATTCGTTCGCGTGCTATTTTTTCCTTTTCATATTTTTCTCTCATTTCTGCTATTATATCATTTGTTTCTTTTTCTTTTTTCTCTTTATAATCTTGTAATTCTCTATCTAATCTGTCTTTACGAGCTTTGTATTCTATATCTAATTTGTCTTTGTATTCTATATCTAATTTTTCTTCCTGAGCTTGCCATTCTCTTTCCTCCATTTCTAATCTTTCTAATTTTTCCATGGCATATTTCATAATTTCTTTCCCCTCTAATCCTAACTTAATCGCCTCCTGACAAAGTTCTTCTATGGTCTTCATTTCACCGGTTTACAATATATAGTCTACTTCTATTCTGGTACAACCCAACTTTCAATAAGTACCATGTCAAAAAAATATGTCACTTAAATTTCTGGTTACAAAATTATCATCATAAGACCACATAACATTTCTAATAAAGTTAATTACCCGGTCTTGTCTGTAGATGACTTGCTCCGGACAGCAAAACGTAGTGGTGGTGTCCAGTACAGCGGCACAGTAGTGGTGGTGGTGTCCAGTACAGCGGCACAGTAGTGGTGGTGGTGTCCAGTACAACGGCACAGGTAATTCTCTCAGGTAAAGGAAACTACCGTGTACAGGAAACTTGGGTACAGGAACAGCGGTTACACGAACAGTTCTAGGCAACAGCAGGAACAGGAACAGGTACAGGATCAGCGGCAGCGGGTACAGGAAACGTCCGGTACACAGGTGGTACAGCACAGGATCAGCGGCAGCGGGTACAGGAAACGTCCGGTACACAGGAACACAGACTCAGGTGGTACAGCACAGGATCAGCTGCAGCGGGTACAGAAAACGTCCGGTACACAGGAACACAATAGTCGAGAGGTCCCGATTCCGCTCCAACTACGGACGGGCCCCCATGTCAAATATTCTAGTTGTTAAATATTTGGCCCATTGTCTAGGTTTATGATTCTCGCTTTTGTTTACATGTCTTGTAAATCTTGTCACACAACAGACTAGTTGATTCATCAAAACAATACGCTTCAAGGTACATAAGACATTTATTTGCTGATCGCATTACGAGATTAATGCGTCTCATAGTTTAGTGAACATGAATCCAACGTATATGGCAATATTCCAATCAGCAAAACATGGCATGACAAAATCCACTATCTCCCAAAGAAAGACGTCTCGTTGTAGCGAGTCCTATCTCTCGTCTAACTTCTGTGAACGTAATCCCCCGTGACATAATAATTCTTCTCCTCCCACTCTCCCGTCTGTGAACCCTTTATACCCCAAATCTCATGCCTCGTTCACTCCACTATCATTCGCCCGTGACATGAAATTAGTTCACAATCCGCATTCGTCCTCAAATCAACACATACACGCTACCTCATGATTTCATGACCTTGACAGGTGGATGTATGGAATAAGTTGAAAGTGAGGAATGGATCATGGCGTGCAACTGCCTTTCCGTGCAGTGCTTGCGGGTCACATACCGATTCCTCCCACTGGCAGGCCTTGCGGGTCACATACCGATTCCTCCCACTGGCAGGCCTTGCGGGTCACATACCGATTCCTCCCACTGGCAGGCCTTGCTGGTCACATAATAATAATAATAATAAAGCTTATTTGTAAATCACGCTTTATCCCCAAAGGCTCGAAGCGCGGTACAAAGTCATCCATATTACAAGAGAAATGAAAAAAAAATCTATATTTTACCACATTGAAATACAAAACGCACCATTACAAAAACTACATACGAGAATACCCATTCTAAGTCCTTCATCCCTTGCAACCATACACACCACGTACCAATCTCTCCCACGGGCAGGGCTTGTGGGTCACATGCCGATCCCTCCCACGGACAGGGCTTGTGGGTCACATGCCGATCCCTCCCATGGACAGGGCTTGTGGGTCACATGCCGATCCCACCCACGGGCAGGGCTTGTGGGTCACATGCTGATCCCTCCCACGGGCAGGGCTTGTGGGTCACCTGCCGATCTCTCCCCCGGGCAGGGTGTGTGGGTCACATGCCGATCCCCCCCCCCCCAAGCGGTCAGCTGTAGATTTGATTTGTTTTTTTTCCTAGCTCAATATAGCCGTATTTCACTTTTAAAGTTGAAGTCAGCAAAATGATCACTAAAAAGAATCCTCTCAAGATCAAGTTTTAAATTTCCGCCTTGAGGTAGCTAAATAAGACAATAGTTATGAGGTCGCAAATCTATGGGGGCTTAGGGTGGGGGGTGGGTTAGATTATTTACCTCAACGTAAAAGGTACTTCATGGTAACATCTATGTATGTGAATTATGGGATCGAAATGTTTAGTATGTTATGTTATCTACAATAAATTTGGTCGGTCATCACTCTTCGATATGTTATCTGCAATACTTTTGTTTGGGCGATCAATCTTCGATATATTATCTACAATAATTTGGGTTGGGTGATCACTCTTCAATATATTATCTACAACAATTATGGTTGGGTGATCACTCTTCGATATGTTATCTGTAATAATTTTGGTTGGGTGATCATTTTTCAATATATTTATCTACAACAATTATGGTTGGGTGATCACTCTTCGATATGTTACCTACAATAATTTTGGTTGGGTGATCACTCTTCGATATGTTATCTACAATAATTTTGGTTGGGTGATCACTCTTCGATATGTTATCTGCAATAAGTTTGGTTGGGTGATCACTCTTTAATATATTTATCTACAATAATTATGGTTGGGTAATCACTCTTAGATGTTATCTATAAAAATTATGGTTGGGCGATGACTCTTCGATATGTTATCTACAACAATTTTGGTTGGGTTGTTGCCATTCTTTTATATTAAATCTAAAATATTTTGTTTTCGGGGTCAACATTCTTCGATGTATTACAGGTAATTCTCAAAGTCCTTCACACTTCTAATTCATTTAGTTTTATTTTAGGTTGTTCTTTTGTTGACTGATATAGCCTCCCAATGTTGACTGATATATTCTCCCAATGTTGACTGATATAGTCTCCCAATGTTGACTGATATAGCCTCCCAATGTTGACTGATATAACCTCCCAATGTTGACTGATATAGCCTCCCAATGTTGACTGATATAGCTTCCCAATGTTGACTAATATAGCCTCCCAATGTTGACTGATATACCCTCCAAATGTTGACTGATATAGCCTCCCAATGTTGACTGATATAACCTCCCAATGTTGACTGATATAGCCTCCCAATGTTGACGGATATAGCCTCCCAATGTTGACTGATATAGCCTCCCAATATTGACTGATATACCCTCCCAATGTTGACTGATATAGCCTCCCAATGTTGACTGATATAGCCTCCCAATGTTGACTGATATAGCCTCCCAATGTTGACTGATATAGCCTCCCAATGTTGACTGATATAGCCTCCCAATGTTGACTGATATAGCCTCCCAATGTTGGCTGATATGGCCTCCCAATGTTGACTGATATAGTCTCCCATTGTTGACTGATATACCCTCCCACTGTTGACTGATATAGCCTCCCAATGTTGACTGATAAAGTCTCCCAATGTTGACTGCTGAAGTCTCCCAATGTAGACTGATATAGCCTCCCAATGTTGACTGATAAAGTCTCCCAATGTTGACTGATGAAGTCTCCCAATGTAGACTGATACAGCCTCCCAATGTTGACTCATACAACCTCCTAATGTTAGCATTATTAAACAGACCAATGGAAGAAATATCAACGAATAA